ACTTTACATGAAATACAACTATATACTGAAGTAGAAACTGCTCGCTTCCACGCAGAGAACTTGCGCATGCGTAGCCGGACTGTAAACAGCTTCTAAAACTAGTTCTTTACAATACGTTCTGTACAGATCCTCAGGGGGAACTCAGAGAATCACAGGGGTATCACATAGACTTTATGAACGCAGCGTAGCTCGCGTATCAATTATAGATAAATAAGCAGGTGGATAAACGGATTAATAGATAGACATTACACATATGGATGGATATACTCAGTTTAACAGACAGGCAGATAGAACTGCAGATAAATAAAAAGACATACAGAAAGATTGATAAATAGACGGACAAGACAATATTTCTTGATTTTGTATACATACTAGTGACTGAATTTAATAAATGCTAGAAATGGTTGAGCTTGAACCACTTATCTTCTGCATGTCCCTGCGCACAAGAGAAGTGGTTTAACTAAATCTACTGAGTTAAACTACTACTCTAATATATTAAATCTGGTTCCAGGAGAGAGTAAGGATCCAGCCCTCTGTCTCATCTGCGGTGTTATGGTCTGCTCTCATGCACACTGCTGCGGAGAAACCATTCAAGGTCAGATACTAGACAAGAGGTCAATTCAAGGTCAGATACTAGACTTGAGATCAATCCAAGGTCAGAAACTAGACCTAAGATCAATTCAAGGTCAGATACTAAACTTAAGGTCAATTCAAGGTCAGATACTAGACTTAGATCAATTCAAGGTCAGATACTAGACTTGAGATCAATCCAAGGTCAGATACTAGACTTAAGATCAATTCAAGGTCAGATACTAGACTTAAGATCAATTCAAGGTCAGATACTAAACTTAAGGTCAATTCAAGGTCAGATACTAGACTTAGATCAATTCTAGGTCAGATACAAGACTTGAGATCAATTCAAGGTCAGATACCAGACTTGAGGTCAATTCAAGGTCGATACTAGACTTGAGATCTATCCAAGGTCAGATACTAGACTTAAGATCAATTCAAGGTCAGATACAAGACTTGAGATCAATTCAAGGTCAGATACTAGACTTGAGATCTATCCAAGGTCAGATACTAAACTTGAGGTCAATTCAAGGTAAGATACTAGACTTGAGATCAATTCAAGGTCAGATGCTAGACTTGAGGTCAATTCAAGGTCTGATACTTGACTTGAGGTCATTACAAGTTCAGTTACAAGACTTGAGGTCAATTCAAGGTCAGATACTAGACTTTAGGTCAATTCAAGGTCAGATACTAAACTTGAGGTAAATTCAAGTTCAGATACTAGACTTGAGGTCAATTCAAGGTCAGATACTAGACTTGAGGTCAATTCAAGGTCAGATACTAAACTTGAGGTAAATTCAAGTTCAGATACTAGACTTGAGGTCAATTCAATCAGATACTAGACTTGAGGTCAATTCAAGGTCAGATACTAGACTTGAGGTCAATTCAAGGTCAGATACCAGACTTGAGGTCAATCCAAGGTCAATTCATTTTATGAGGTCAATTCAAGGTTACGAATTAAGCAGGAGATTATTTGTGAGGTCAGAATCTAGATAGACTTTATGGATATATTCAAGGTCAATAAACTAAACCTGAGGTTAAACGTGAGGTCAATTTAAGATCGGGTAATAGACTGTAATTTAAGATTGGGTAATAGACTGTTAATAGTATTGAATGGAATAAAAAGTAAAATATTTTCTGTTTGTGTTAGGTCAGAAATCAATGTGAAATATTTTTAAGAATTTGAACATTTTCAAATTAGAATCAAAACTTTCAGGAGAGAAAGTTGGAGGATGTACTGCACATGCTAAATATTGTGGGGCTGGAACAGGTAATAATGTAAACAAACAAACAAATTGGAGGATCACATGCTAACTATTGTGTGGCTGTAAAATTTAATAATGTCAACAAACAAACACATTGGAGGATGTACTGCACATGTTAAATATTTTGGGGTTGGAACAGGTAATAATGTAAACAAACAAACAAACAAACAAGTTGGAGATGTACCTTTAAAGGGAGTGACCGGCTATGTATAGTAATTGAACTGAGAATGCNGGGAATTAGAATTCATTTGAGACGTATAAAAAATTTAATGATGTATAATTACTGAGTTTGAGCGCAAAGTCCACGTTCAAAATCATCCATTTGGGTGGTCCCAATTTGAGAATAGATTTATTTAATTATTAAATAACAACGACGAAAAATGAATCAACAATTCTACATTAAACTAATTAGATGTTAAGGAACATATTTCTCAATAGAAATTTTTCAATAAATCAATATTAGAAAATATTATTTCTTTTTAAGCATTATATTGAATTTTTTATTCCTTACGAATTTGTTCGCAGATTTCTATAAATTCTTCAAATCTCGTCTTTTCAATAAAAATTCCAGAAAATCTACAGAAAATGTTTGTGAACAATAAGACATTACAGAAACTAATAACTGAATAAGATTACTTATTTTCTATGATAAAAGAATTAATTTTTATTTTCTCAATCTGTTCCTAAACAACGAATTAGTTTACTGTAGGATTTTTGTTCCATTTTTGTCGTCGTTATTTAATAATTTTTAAGAAATCAATTTTAAAAACGTAACCGCCCAAATAGATGATTTTGAACTCGACTTTGGCTCAAACTCAGTAATTTTACATCATTAAAACGTTTTATATGTCTCAAATGCATCCTAAAATTTTCTCCACAATACTACATTCTCAGGTCAACTACTTTACAATGCCGGTCACTTCCTTTAAATACAGAAAATATGTTAAATAATACCCCCAAAGAAAAGGTAAACCAAAGAATAAAAATTCACAAATGATTAAATCATAATAGAAGATTTAAAAAAGAGAAAAGATAATCATAACACTATTATTTTGGTTCGTAGGGCCAACAACTTTTTCAAAGATATTTTCTTTTCCTCTCGAGGGTTAAGCTTTATTAGTAGAACAAGCTGTTCAACAGAGTGAATATAAAAAAAGTTTATCTTATTTAATTTTTATTTGAATTTAAAAATTATTTTAGAATACTGGAAACCAATTACACTTTTTAGCTCAGTGCTATTCATGTAATTTAAAATACAGCACGATATGAACTATGAACAAAAACACAGCAGAAATGGTTAAGTTCAGAAAGAAATTTTTATTTATTTATTTTTCAGGAATATTTTTGAAAATTCGAGACTGTTATATAATTCTTCTACACAAGATGTACAGAGGTAGATAATTACAAAATAAGTTATGGATGAAATAAGTTATGTATAAAATATAAGGTTTTACAATTTAGTATTTTGAAATTTTCAACTATTTAAAAATACGACAAAGATTGAGACATTAAAGTAATACAAATTTGATTAAATAATATAAATTTAAATAATACAAGGGCTGTGGAGCCCACAGGGGGACCAAAATATTTTCAATTAATTATAAAGTCTTAATTTTTCCGGTCAAAATCTAATATCCCAATGATAATAATGATAACATTTATTGTCATGAATGTTATTTTTTCTTAGGATCAATTATTCCTGCCCCTTACCTGGACCAGTATGGAGAAACAGATCAAAGGTTCGTTCATTCATTTATCCTTTTATTCATTATTTCATTCATTCATTCATCCTTTTATTCATCCTTTCATTCATTCATCTTTTTATTCATTCATTCATTCATTCATCCTTTTATTCATCCTTTCATTCATCTACATTCATTCATCCTTTTATTCATCCTCTCATGCATTCATCCTTTTATTCATTCATTAATCCATCCTTTTCTTCATTAATTCTTCCATTCAATCATTTATCAATTATTCAGAAATTCTTCCATTCAATCATTTATTAATTCTTTCATTAATTCTTCCATTCAATCATTTATTAATTCTTTCAGGAATTCTTCCATTCAATCATTTATTAATTTATTCATTAATTCTTTCATTAATTCTTCCATTCAATCATTTATTAATTTATTCATTAATTCTTCCATTAATTCTTCCATTCAATCATTTATTAATTCCTTCCTTCATTGCTTCATCCTTTCATTCAGTCATACATATAATCTTAATTCATTCTTTTAATCATTCATTAATAAATATATCTTTTCATTCATCCATTTTTAAATATTTTTTTTTACAATTACAGGGGAAATTAGTTCCAAAACTAACACTCGGCCTATTTCTCACACAGTGTTAGAAATGGGCCAAATCTGATAAGTTATCTTTTTCAAGCGTATATGTCTTTAAATCCAAGCCGAGTTTAACATGTACTACATCATGCATTTATAATAAATGGCTAAAAATATTTATTGAAAAAAGAAAAGTCAACTTTAAAAAGACTAATAATAAGGTGTGAGAATTAGTCTTTGATGATTTTTGTTTTCATTTTCGAACTTATCCCTATTTTGAAACAATTACCGCATTTCAGCTCATGTCGCGTTTTTGAATCATATCCTGGTTTTGAGACAATTACTCGAATTCATATCAATGTCAATTTTTAAATATTTACGCATTAAGTCACAAGGCAAGATTTTTTGATAAGGTAAAATATTGATAAAATATAAAATAAAAACATACTGTTCGTTTATAATTAAAAAACATTACGGCATTGGGAAATCAAAACATTAATTTTATTTTGTTCTTGTAATGTAGATTTAACTAGAAATGCGGGAAATTGATTGTTTAAAATGCAAGAAACTAAATCAACTTTATTCTCTTTTTTAACAAATAAAATATGGAAACTTATAATTTAAATATAATTTAGCAGTTAATTTAGTCTTCATAAGATAATTTTTACTTTCAGTGATTTATTTTGTAAGTGATGAAAATGAGTTTTGTTTTGAATTGCCGATTATACTCAAAAACGGAAAAATGGGGTTTGTCTCGAAAACGCGACATTGATTTAAATTTAAGATCTGTTCCAAAATGGAAAACCTGACATTGTCTTAAAAACGGTCCAGAGATTTAATATAAAAAGGACGCCTTTTATAATTTTGATCTAAGAAAATAGTTTAAAATTGGGAATTTGTGTCCTTGTTATGCTAAATAAAATGTTGGTTATAGTTTTTATTCCATTTTGAGAGAAATAATATCCCGTGTATTTTCCTGTAATTTGAAAATCTTCTGGGATATTATTTCTCATAATTGTCCTGGGACATTATGAGAAATAATATCCCAGAAGACTGACAAATTCAAGATGTTTTACTAAGGTTTTAGGATTTTAGATTTTATCGCGTTTTTTCTTGAAAGGTTCTACATTTAACCTCAAACAAACTAAATTAAGTAAGAATCCCGGCAAAAATATTATGTCCCATTGTCCCGTGTTATAACACAAGGCAGTTGCATACATAGATAGTATAATCGACTTTTACTCTTAATATGGGCCGGGATCCCGAAACCCCAGTCTTTTAATTTGTGCCCATTTCTAACACTCGGTGTTAGAAATGGACCAAGTGTAGGTCCCCTGAAGTAAATTTAGAAAAATAATACAATTAATAGAATTAAAAAAATTTTAATTTTCCAGGTTAAAGAGAGGAAACCCACTTTACCTAGAACCAAGCAGATATTCAGAACTAGACAGGTTATTCATTTAGTCATTAATTCATTTATTCATTTATTCATTTAGTCATTTATTCATTTAGTCATTTATTCATTTAGTCATTTATTCATTTAATAGTCATTTAGTCATTTAGTCATTTAGTCATTTAGTCACTTATTCATTTATTCACTTATTCACTTATTCACTTATTCTTTTATCTGTTCATTTGTTTTATTCAATCATTCTTTACTTAATTCATTTATTAGTATTTAAATATATGTGTATATTAAATAGATCAATTTTCATAAACAATTTGCTTTTTAGAGCCTGGTTGAGGAATGATATTCCTGAGAAGATTGCCAGAATGTTTGACCCGGATGTCTTGCTCCTGGTTGAATGGCAGCAGTTTTAAAACTCTCCGCTAGATGTCTTTGTTGGTTGAGTGGTAACAGTTCTAAAACTCTCCACCAAATGTCTTTTGGTTGAGTGGCGGCTGGCTATTTTAAAACTCTCCACAAGATGTCTTTTTTGGTTGAGTGGCGGCTGTTTTTAAACTCTCCACTAGATGTCTCTGTAGGTTGAGTGGTGGCAGTTCTAAAACTCTCCACAAGATGTCTCTGTTGGTTGAGTAGCAGCAGTTCTTAAACTCTCCACAAGATGTCTCTGTTGGTTTAGTTGCGATAGTTCTGAACTCTCTAGTAGCAGATAAAACCCCTACCACCTGATAACTATTTTCGCCATGGCTTCAAAGAAAGTTATCTTATAATTTCAGTCCAAATATGATTCATTATTGCCTATATTAAGATCTGATTGTTATTTTTCTTGGCCTAACTAACTACCCTCGCAAGATTTGATACTTCAAATTAATATATATATTTCCTAAAAACCTTATAATTGAACTGTATTAAGTATTGTTTAAGATCAAATACTGCTTTTTCAATTGTTCACTTTGTTTTAAAATTGTAATAAATATTTTTTTACATATCTTGTTGAATAATTTAGCATTATTAATTACTAATATTTAGGATTTTAGTTGTGTGGATATATCACTTGATATACATCATGATATTTTTCTAGGGGGGGGGGTAAAAAAAAATCTAGGGAAGGTAAAAAAAAAATTTAAAAATGTACCCCCCCCCTTCAGAATCCTTATTTACGCCCCTCTGAGCAGTTTTTTCTTGCAAAAAATCTGCTTAGAAACTTTAAGTAAAAAAACAACTTATTGCCAACATCAGAGGGAGGGCAATGTGCACGGGCAGCTGTAGTACATTTGAATTTACGAGCCGGGTCAACCTTTCCGGTCCCAGTTTGTACTGTATCGCTCAGACATTGGGTAAATTAAGCAGACAATAGGACTACCCAGTGTAACAAGGTTGACGCGGGCAGACTTGAGGTTGAATTTACTTTTACTAAAGGGTCAGGGGTGTGTGTGTATTAAATTATTGGTTTTAGTTGGGTTTGATTTGCATTTTCCACTTATTTCTGGCATTTACAAACTCCGTCAAATAAATGCAATTCATTTCCTACCTTTCAGCTTTCACCTTGATTTATATCCTTCATTATAGTCATTCGTTTTACATTAACTACAAAGATCTGTAAACAACTGAATTTATTTTAAGTAAGATAAAAAATAATAGTTTACTCAAAGAGGAAAAAGATGCAACTTTTTAAAATTTAAAATTTTTTAAAATTTTTCCTTTTGATGGTAATCATGGACATGGAGATCAAGTTACTGAACGGGGATGTTTGTGTCCCCAAGATTCTAGGGGGGGGGGGGTTTAATTACCCCTAAGATTCTAGGGGGGGGTAAGTAACCCAAATAACCCCCCTTATGTACGCCACTGGTTGTCTGTGTAGTGTGATCACATTTTACAAAGGGTGTCTCTAAAAGCCTGATTGATTGATTGATATATGTTCTAGTTGTAGGAACTAGTTTTTTATTACGAATGTAATCTAGGTTTTCGGTCCTTTTTCGTTATTAGAGCAGGAAAATAATTCTCACAACGGAATTTTTCAAGTGATAAGGTCAATTTTACTGCACAACCATGAAAGCTGGAAAAGTAGGAAAATTTCTCTAACTATATCGATCAAGGTGAAAGTTCATAAAACTAATGTTTTTTTAAATTGTACTGTACAGTGTACAGAGTGAAGTACACCAAATATTTCCCTATTTTATCGCAGAGAAGAATATGTACTCATCTGTAACACTAATAGAGAATGTCACAATGTTTTTAATTCAAGTCGCAATCAAAAATTTTCCAGGTGGACATTCAACCCCCCTTCCTTATGCTGTCTGCTGTGTATCGTTAAGATTTCCATATATATCCATTTAGAACACCAAATTTTACACAAGTCAAAATATGACAATATTTACATATTTAATGGGCAAATATTCATCATACACTCTAATTGTGTCAAATATCAAATATTCAGAAAACAAAATATTTACAAACTGCAGACAATTTGATAATCAAGGTTTCAATCCCAGGGGTTTTTATTTTCAACTCAAGAAAAGGATATTTTAGAATGATGATAAAACTTTCTTGAAGATGGAATATCCTGTGAAAACTAAGAATAAAGAACAAATTCTATAAATTATGGTATGTCCACCTTCTTTTACCCCTTCGACAAGATCTGGGTCTCCTTGACTTCACTTCTCTGTCCACATAATTCCTTAAATAGCTGTATCTGCGTCTGGTTCCCAAACCGTTAGTCAAGTCCTTGACTCTCCGCAAGCTGGTTGCAAATGTAGAAACCTAATTTAGATGTAATGGCGACCAAGTGGGTATGGTCGCCTTTTTTTAACTTCTAATTAAAAGAGTTTGAATCCTTTTTTTGTCCAGTTAGAAACAAAAATCACGAAGATGGATATCCAGGCCTGGGGTAAAATTATCATGATTCTAATCTATACCTGTCTCATCTCATTCGTTCCAGAAATGCCCAACTACTACACGTTCCTTGTGAACTGTCTTGGTTTGACACTGACGCTCTTCGGAACTATCCTGCTTATCTGGTTCCTAACCACCAGGCCGCCGGCACAAAGAAACCTGTTAAATCGGATTCTGACCCTGTTTGCAGTGGCGCTTCTTCTTGGAACCTTCAGAACTTTTCTCTTGTCTATTCCGGCCTGCTTCTGGAACTCCGAGTTCAAAGAGTTTGTAGAGAACCACCCTTTGGTAACAGCTGGGTTTCTATCTCTTCGATGCTTTGTACTGCTTTCCACGACACTTGCCTGTGCCCTATCAGCCGGAAGATTGCTTCTGTTTGTAAAACCGGTTCTTTTCCAGAAAATTGATCCAGTAACAGGTGTTAGTGTCATTGGCTCCACAGCAGTGATAATCTGCATGGTTGACATCACTTACACCCTGACATTTTTCTCTGATATGGTGTCTTTGGATGAAAGCATGCTGATGGTGGTTTTTAAAGCTGAAATGGGAATCGAAGAGAAAGCGGTAAAACCCAAACTGAACACCACAATGGAAGAAATTATGGAACGAAATCCGTATAATTTTCTCCCCCTGATTCAACTGACGGTTCTGGGTGCTGTTGGACTTGAAATAACCAAAGTAGTGTACGCGTTCACCAAGGAGTATATCAAGTTAAAGAAGGCTACCAGAGTCCTACCGAGGGCTTCAAGATTTCAGCCTCAGCAGCCAACCACGACAGTGAGGCTTCAGATCTTGAAGAGAGAACAGAATATGTTCCGATCTGAATCCTTCCCATCGATGAAACAAAATCTAACAGAACGAAGGACCTCACTGCCACAGCTTGGACAGAGAAAAAAGGAAAAGAAGCAAGTCAAAATTTGTGTTGACCAAGCATCTACAAATACCTCTGCCACTAATTTAGACCGGAAAAGTATGAAGAAACTGAAAGAATTAGTCCGAGCGTTATGTCTGCGAACTGCCAACTTCGTTTACGTTTTCGGCCTGATTGGTATCATCAGCTTGGTGGTGAGCTCCTTCACCTACTCCTTCTCCCCCTGGAGTGTTGTTGTTCAGATTACCGCCTGCAGACTGGTCTCATACCTTCTCGTTGTTCTTCTAATCTTCTTTGATAAAGATATTTATCAGTTTTTCAGGGAAAAAATCAGTTTTCTGCCATTGTAAACTTAAAAACACGGCGGTCTGAAAACTGTTCTTTAAATCCCTGAACTTGGACCATATTTTAAAAATAGGATAAGATTAGTTTAAAAAAGTACAAAATTGAATCGGTTCTTTTAGGCATGGTCTGGGGCATAAGAGAACTGATTGAACTGGTTGTATGTTGTTCAACTATTTCTCCCTGTTTATCAAATCTGGTTCATGGAAGTGCTAAGAAACAACCAACTGTTTTTGTTGCTTCAAAAAAAACTGTCAACTAAATATCATCATGAAAGAATGTGTTTCTAAGTTTTGAAACAACTATGAACGTATAATTGAGCTGATTGAGCACACAAAGGAATTGTTACCACAAACTCTGATTTTCTATTCCCTATATCTTTGCAACCAAATGTCGTAGACCTTAGATATTTCAAACTATGAATTGTTATAGATCAAATAATCTAAGTTTGAAATATTAAAGGTTTAAACAATCAACTTGCAAAGATATAGGGATTCGAAAATTAGAGTTTGTGACAAAAACTCAATTCCTTTCAATGATAAATGTCTTTTTTTGTAAAGCCTCTTAAAAGTATTTTTTAATTTTAATAATTTATTTTTGGATAAGGGTTGTGGGCACAAGCTCACGCATACAAATAAAAACGAAATATCAATAAATCTATTTCCAGTTTGTTATCAAAGTCTTTCTATTATTTTGTTGCCTCTTAAAAGTATAATTAAATGTTTTTAGAAAAACAATCAATAGGCATTTAGGCACTTCTCGTATTAACTGCACTGCTCTACAATTTAAAATTATTCTTTTCTGTAAATATTTACAATATTTATGTATTTATTTTATACCAAAAATCTAGAAATATAAGTTTCTGTTGTACTGGATACTGCACCTGTTTATCTTGATATAGTTCATGGTGGTTTATTCAGGGGGAGGCTATTAGCCTATTCGAGAATTACGTACAAGGTTACCCACAAATGATGAGACTTAAGAGACGACTGTACGAATTTTATTTAGTCCATTTTCTTATATTCATGATTCTGTAACCTTTTTTGTTTCTTTGCCAAATCATTAAATTAGCTATCAAAAATCTACTTTTAAATTTGACATTGTCATATTTTTAGAGTTTTATGTTTGTATTTACAACACTAGGCTTTTAGGGCGCTTCTATTTAAATTGTGAACATGTTCTTTTTTTCATATTTAAAACAAAGAAGAAGAAAATTTTGCGGATTTTTAAAAAAAAATTCGCGGATTTTCAAGAATTTAAATTTTTTTACAAAATTAAAAACCTTTAAAACACATTTTAAAATTTTTTTATATACGTTTGAAAGACAAATACCCTAGTTTTTTCATTTCATTTCATTAGCATTTGGAAAAGTTTAAAGAAATATTTTAAAATAGCTTGAGAACGCCGTTTACCCGCACTTGAACGATCTTACCGGGAAACTAAATTTAAAATTCGGTGATGGAGATGGACCAAACCTCTGTAGAGTAAAAAAGTAGATGTTAGTTCCACATTTATTGAAATTATATTTCGGTCTGGGTTGACCTTCGTCAGTTCTAACGATATAATAACCATCAAAATCGATAAAAAAAAATTAAAAAATTTAAAAAATCACAAGAAGATACACAAACAAAAAAGTTTATTCAAAATAAAAATTAGGGGAACGAACTCAGATTATGAGATGGAAAAAAGATAATTTGCAAATATTCACTTTTAAAAAAAATGTTTTAGACTATTATTATTTCTTGAGACTAAATATTAGCTATCAAAGTCGACCCACTCAACTTAGAATCTTAAAATCAAGCTAAGAACATTGCCGTGGCTCTCCCGAGTTCCCCAATCAAAATTTGAGACAAATCGGTCCTGGGGTTTCTGAGAAAAGATCT